TGGGTACTCAAATGAAAGCTCTTGATGAGTAGTAAGAAGAAAATCTATAATCAAATTACAATTATAGACTGTTATCCATTTCTTGGTCTTTTTTATTTTTTTAAGTTTTATAGTCATTTTTCCTAAATAAATAAATAAAAATGACAATAACCTTTCTGGTCCTTCGACGTGAACCAATCCTAAGTCTTTCATCACTAGGTCTGTCTTCATCATCAGTATCATCCCCTCGTTCATCACTGAACCCACTTTCAGCGCTAAAATAATAAAAATATTAAATCCAAAAAACATTCAATAAAAAGTATAAAAATAACCAACCTATTATTAAATGAATCATCAACAGCCAAAGCTTTTCTCGCAGCAAATTCTCTCCTCAAATTTTTCCACTCAATCTCCGTATTGCAATTCTTTTGACGCGCTGATTCCCATTTTTCTCTACAGTACTCCAACTCTTGTTTCAACTCCTGCAACATTTTCCTCTTCTGTTGCAACTCATAGCGCAATATTTTCTCATGAGTGTGTAATTGTTGGTGCTGTGCCTGCATACGGCCAACAATGTTCCAAGTCTTGCTTAATTCATCAGACACCGTCGACAAACGCTTCTCCTGCTCGCCCAGCTTGCTCTCCAAGTGCAAGTTCAGCTGCTTCATGCGACCCATTTCTTTTTCCAGGCTTTTCTTCTCGAGAATCAGCTCCTTCAACCGGATATAAGTCTTGCTGACGGATATCACCAGTCTTGGACCTGTGGGAGTGTCGACGGACTTGTAGCAGACATTGGGATCGGTAGAAAGAGAAGCTGGCTCTGCTGGTCTAGAAGCGGAGCCTTGAGCTGCGTGGCAGCTCAATAATTCCAGCAGCACTCGCCAAACTTTAGGTAAATTATTAGCGATGCTGTCTTCCTGGTCTTCTTGGTTCTCTTTATTGTCAGTGTCGCTTGTTCTAGACTTATCACGGCCTTCTACTTGTTCCACGAGGTCTAGCAATAATTTTGGCAATGCTGCTGCTTCAGTACCTTCTTCTCGAGCCATTTCACTGATCAATTCATGATTTTCCTGAAAAATTAAAATTAATTTAATTTATTTATTTAATTTAATTTAAATTTTTTAATAATTATTTTATTAATTATTGTTTAGACATTTTTTTTTAATGTTGGAATTAATTAATTAAATTAAAAAAACCTACTTGGATTAATTGAGTCAAACGATCGAGATCCATATCAGCAGATGACGCACTTAACAACATTTGTGAAAACAAACTATTAATAACACCCATTTGATTTTGTAAATCACGACAATCGGCTTTTGTTAAACCTAATTGTGATTCTAAATTTGAAATTTCAGTATCTTGGATATCAATCTGAAAAATAAATTATTAATTAATAATTTTTAAATATTTAATACAATCATAATAAAAAAAGAAAAGTAAATTTAGATAAAAAATTATTTAAAAAAAAAAAAAAATAGACTTGTGATAAAAAATTAATTTATTTAAAATTTTATTTCTTAGTTGAAAAAATAAAAAATTTTTCTCAATATAACTTTGTCGAAAAAAAATTTTTTTGATTTTTATAAAGACAAAACTTGTGAATTTTTATCCAAAAATTTTTTTACTGTAAGAAAAATTTAATGTAACTTTTTTGTTGAAAAAAAAAATTTTTTTTCGATTTTTGTCAAGACACAACTTGTGAATTTTTATCCAAAAATTTCATTTAACAAAAAAGTTACTATAAGAAAAATTTTTATTTCTTTAGCTAAAAAAGAAAATTGATTATTTTTTAAAAAATAAATTTTTTAAACCTTTTCTTGGGCTCTATTAAAATCTTCTTCCAAAGTCTCTTTTTCATAAGACACATTCTTAAACTTGTCCTTAAGGTCAACCAGTTCTTTCGAGCCCGACTCTTTCAGCTCCCCGATAACTCTAATCCTCTCGTCATAAAGACTCTTCAAATTTTTAATATCGTCCAGCTGACGGTCGTGCTCGGCTCTGAGGTCGTCGGTGACGTCAATCTCAAGTTTTTCATCGCCAACACGCGCAAGTATTTGTGATAGCACGCTTTTCAGGCCATTTATCTTTTCTTCGCGCTGCCTGAACGCCTGGCGGCTCTTCTTGCCAATAGTCTTCAGAGTTTCAATCCTTTGAGCGTTGATTTCTGGTTCGCACTCCAAATGGTACCGCAGATCGTCTATTTTCTCAATCTGTTGTCTTATACAGGCTCTCAATTCATCCGATACCTAAAAAAAAGTTTTCATTAATTAGACAAACATATTTTTATATCCATAATTACAATAATTATTATTTTTTACATCATAATCACAATCATAATTATTCTTCAATAATTATGTACCTTCAATACATCAGTAAGTCTCTGAGCATCCAAATGCACAGAATTAGTTCCTTGCCATTCATCTTTCCAGTCTTCGAGTCCTGAAGTCCCCGGTGCGGTTGATGTTGACGTAGAAGTTGTTGAAGTCACCGTAGTCGCAGTACCAACTGACACTTCACTTTTCCTCGATGCATTTTCAGATTGACTTTTCAATAAATCTAAAATTCGGGAGGTTTCTGAGTGAGCTTCTTTTTCAGCGTCTAATTCTCGCCTTAATCTCTCCATTTCTGATGAAACTGCTGCTATTGCTCGTTGTCTTGCTTCGCGCTTCATACTTAAATCTTTTTTAAATTCTTCTAAGCTAGGACGCTCATTATTGTCTGATTCCATTGATGTTTCTACAATAAAAATATAAATATAAATATAACAATAAAAAGTATAAACATTGAGAAGAAAAAATCCTTTTGAAAAAAATGGAAATTTTTGAGACAAAAAATTAATTTTTTTGGAAGTTTTAACAATTTTATTTTTTAGCTAAAGAAATATACATTTTTTGTTTAAAAAAAGGTTTTCAAGATTTGGAAAAAAAAATAATTTTGAATAAATATATCCAAATTATCTATTTAAAATTTTTATTTCCAAATCAAAAAAACTTTTTTTTTTTAACAAAAAAAGTTACTGTCAGAAAAATGTTCATTGCTTTTATTTTTGTTAAAAAAATAAAATTCTATAAAATTTCCAATAAATTAATTTTTTCAAAATTTTATTTTTTAGCTGAAGAAATAAAAATGTTTTTCATAGTTAATTTTTTGGTGAAAAAAAATGTTTTCTAGATTTGGAAAAAAAAAAAAAACAATTTCGTATGAAAATTTTTAAGTTTTCTATTTTAAATAAATTTTTTTTTTTCTAAATCAAAAAAACTTATTTTTAACAAAAAATATGAAACAAAATTTTATTTCTTCATTAAAAAAACAAAATCTCCACTAAATTAATTTTTTGTCACAAAACTTTCCATTTTATTCAAAAAAATTTTTTCCTCAGTACACTTCTAAAAAATGAATCCATATTTTCCACAACAAAAATAAATAAATTACCAGCATCTAAAACAGTATCAGTATGTTCATTTTTTTTGAAAGCAACAACATCATTCAGTCTTTGAATCTCTCGCAAAGCCTCTTCAAATGCCTCAGTTTGTTTCTTCTTACTATTAATTTCTTCCTGAAGCCTAGTGCGTAGTTTAAAAGTATCTTTGTCCTTTAACGCGACAGTCTCCTCTCTCACAGACTCGGCTTTCCTCAAGCCACTCTCCAGATCTTTTATTCGCATTAAGGCAGTGTCTTTTTCCCTGTGGAATGCATCCAACTGCTCAGTCAGTCTCGATGTCTCCAGCTCCATTTCTTTCATACTTTTCTCCTTTTCATTCAACCTCTGTTCCATTTTTTCACAGTGAATCTTTGAAGTCTAAAAAAACCATTTATTAAAATCAAACCAAAAAAAAAAAACCCTAAAAATAAAAAAATTAATTTCTTACATCATAATCCCTCTTAAGTTTCTCAATAATTTTTCTCTGTCTCTCAACTTCACTCTCACATTCCAATTTCTCCGGCTCTAGAACGTTCTCTAACAACTGTATCCTATCAATAGCCTTCTGACACTCTCGTTTATCATTTTCGTCTTTTTCTTTTTCTTTGTGGGAATTTTTGCAGCACCTGAGCTCACATTTGCCCGAATTTTTGATAAATTTTTCAATCGCTTCAATGCGACTCAAAAGGTGATTATTAAAGTCAGTTTGATTAGCAGCAGTTTGGTCAGCACTCGAAACATGAGAAGAAACGCGTTCGCTTTTTTCTTCCCGTTCTTTGTTTAACTCGGCGTATAATTTTTCCAGCTGCACCAAAAGCGCGCTGTGCGCAGAGGCCAATTGCTGGTTAGCTGTCGCTAAATGCGACACTGTTCGCGTTAATTCCATAGCTTCTTGATTAATTGATGGAGTGCTTGGTGTGTAATCCGACTGCCAACCAGTCATTTGTGCTGCATATGTCAGCTAAAATTGAAAATGATCTAAGAACTTTATAATATTTACTTTATTAATCACTTAATTATTACGTTTTAGGTAAAAAATATAAAACGCGTTGTTATTCACTGGGAAGACTATCGCGGACTGAAGACTAAAGAACTGAAGAAATAAAATTTAATAAAAGACAGACAATGAGCCAAGATGGCACGTGATCTGATCGACTATCGTGGAAATGAATTTTCGTAGCAGTGACTCAGCTAACAGAGCAAAGACTCTTTACTGTTTGGAAATATGCCAATACATACTCATTTTTTTTTTTATTATTAATAAACAAAGTCGTAACTATCTCTGATGGTAATTACTAATTACTGTTACATGACATTAAAGTAAGCAATTACTTAAGTATTTTTTTATTTTTTATTAACAAAAAAATTTCTTCCGAAAAATTATTTTTAATTTTTTTTAAATTTGAATGTCAATTTTGTTGTCCAAAAATTAATAAATGTCTGCTTAATTAATTTTCATAATTATATGTCATTAAAGTTAGCAGTTACTTGACCATTTTTTAATTTTTAAAAAAGAACATTTCTTCTAAAAAATTATTTTAAAAAAATTGCATTTTTAATTTCTTAAAATTATAATTTTTTTCTCATTGTTTGTCATAATTTATTTGTCCAAAAATGATTAAATATCTGCTAAATTAATTTTCATATCTGCTATATTAATTTTCATTAATATAAAAAATTAAAGTTAGCAGTTACTTGACCATTTTTTAATTTTTTTAACAAGAAAATTTCTTCCAAAAAATTATTTTTAATTTTATAAAAATTTCAATTTTTTTCTCATTTTTTTGCCATAATTTATTTGTCCAAAAATTATTAAATGTCTTCTGAATAAATTTTTATTATTACATGAGATTAAAGTTAGCAGTTAGCAGTTACTTGACAATTTTTTAATTTTATTTAACAAATAAATTTCTTCCGAAAAATTATTTTCAATTTTTTGAAATTTTAACATGTTAATTTTTTTGCCATAATTTATTCTTTACAAAACTCCTAAAAATGATCAAATATCTGCTAAATTAATTTTTATTATTATCTATAATTAAAATTAGCAGTCACTTGACCAATTATTAATTTTATCTATCAAAAAAACTTATTCCAAAATTTGCATTTTTAATTTTAAAAAGTTTTAATTTTTTGTCATAGTTTATTTGCTACAAATTATTAAATTTCTACTAAATTAATCTTCATTACTATTTCAATTAAGAAGAAAATTTCTACGCTTACTACAAGTAAGTCACTGACCCAAGTGACTTAATTAATATATTAATATATTTGATAAAATAATTATAATTACTGACCAAAGTTTCACGTGGATGGCAAAGACTTGATAAATTTGGCGCGGATGGTCTCTGATTCCACCACTCTTCATTTCTAACGCTCCTACGACGCGCTTCCTGTTGTTTTGTGAATAAGCGACAATAAATAAGTGACAAACAACAATCATACGTATTACAAAATTAAACAATTTTACGAAATATCAAAAATGACTAATTATATTATTTATACCTGATTTGAAGAATTATCTATAGCTTCAGACGCTCGAGATGTTGCAGGTGTATATCCAGGTCCGGTGTAAAATGGCGGAGGTAACGGCGGCGGCTCATAGTTACAATTATTATGCAAACTACCGCTTACTCCCATTATTAATCGTCGATCGTTCGTAGTCGGGTTAATTTATTGCAATCTAAAAAAATTATTTCAGAAAATTAATAAAAAAATTTTGAATTAAAATAAAAAATAATTTTTAAGAAGAATATTTTTTTTTCTAAAAAAATTATTTCAGAAAATATAAAAAAAAAATTTTGAATTTAAATAAAAAATCATTTTTAAGAAGAATATATTTTTTAATACATATGTTAAGTGTTTATTTTTAACTATTGAAAATACACTTCAATGACGACAATACTCAATTTGCTCCACTTGCCCAGTTTATCGTAATTTTGATTGGCAAGCATTTTGTTCTTTGTCAATAGATCTTTCTTTAATCTCTTTGTCATTAAATTATAACTATAATAATTATTATTATGTATATAAAAACAAAGTATTAATAAAATTTATCATCTTCAGAAGAAATAAATTAATTATATCGGAATGCGCCGCAAAAATTATAGATAAAAGCGGGTGTATAATTTTTTGTGAAAATGAAAGAAGAAAAAGCATTTAAAAGATTATTTAAAAATGTCTGACACGTGCAAAAGGCCATGGGAAACGGGTAAAAATAGATCCCGATTCTAAATAAGATAAATATAGAATTTTCGTATGAAAACAAAAGAGATTGCTTTAAGACTATTTACGTATTTAAAAAAGAAATAATTTTTACTTCCGTCTTTGAATTATTTCTTCAACACTGTTATATAAAATAATGATTTTAAATGTTGAAAAAAAATAATTAATCTTAATAATTTGAGATTTTTAAAATGCAATTATAGTCTTCTTAAAAATGAAGCACAGAAAAAACACTTTGAAAAACTCACTTTTGAAAATTCACATTAAAAAAACTATTTATTTATATTCTTCGCGTTGTTTGGAAGAAGAAACTAAAAAAAGTAGCCAGATTGAATATAAATTGTATAAAATATAATATTTGTTGAAGATTTGGGAGCGAGATCTCGCGGTAGTACTTGCACCTTGCTGGCTTGTCGCCAGTAACAGCCTCCAGTTTCATTTCTACCAGCATCTCTTTGCAGCTCTATAAATATCTCGAAAACTTTACTTTGAGAAAATACCGAGCAGTCGAATGAGCTTGAGGCCGACATCTAGTGTCTTTTGGAGGCTCAATCCGACAATCACAAGAAATTTATTGGCAATTTCTTTTATTCTCACCCTTGATTTTTGGAAAACTTTTCGAGCGAAAGCAGAACTTGCTAGAAAGTTTCATCGGGGATTTAAAATAGCTGTCTATAAAAAAGCTGTCTATCGGAATTGGGACAGTATTTACTTATTTTAAATCCAAGCCAACAAATAACATTTATTTTTAGACGGGATTTTTATCAATGGATTGCGAAAGTTGAATTATTCTTCTTATTAAATTAAGTGGAAGTTATTCTCTAACTTGTAATCTTTATCAATATTTCTTCTTCATCTCTTTGAAATTTGAAGAAAATCTTCAACAGCGCCCTCATCTTCGATTTTTACAATCTTTAAAATTTTACCAACTTACCAAATTTCTTCAACAATTGAAGATAGAAAAATTTTATAAAATTAAGTTGGAAAAAAAATGAATGATATTTTATTATAAGTTAACAGTCATTTGACTATTTTTTAATTTTATTCAACAAAAAAATTATTTTAAAAAATTGCATTTCTAATTTTTTTAAATTTCTAAATGTCAATTTTGTTCTCATGATTTATTTCTTATAAAAATTCTTAAAATTATAAAATATCTTCCAAGTTAATTTTCATATATTATAAATATTAAAGTAAAATAAAATATGTAAATTTTGATGATAATTTCCAATGACATTTAATTTAGCTGTCACTTGACAATTTTTTAATTTTATTAAAGAAAAAAATTATTTATAAAAAATTGATTTTTAATTTTTTTAAATTTCTACATGTCAATTTTTTTTTCTACTTTTTTTGCCAATAAAAATTAAGTTAGCCGACATCCAAAAACTTTAAGAAATTTTTTTATTGAAAAATTATTACAAAAAAAAAGAAAATAAAAAATTTCACTTGTAAAAAACTTGAAAAACTATCAGTGCATTTTTTTAAAAATATTTTTTTAGTTATAATTTAATAAATTAAGCAAAATAAAAAAATCCAAAGTGTCTGCTAACTTTATTTATTATATTTTTTATTTATTAAATAAAAACTAAAAAATATTTTTAAAAAATTGCACTGATAGTTTTTCAAGTTTTTTACAAGTGAAATTTTTTATTTTCTTCTTTTTTTAATAATTATTCAATAAAAAAATTTCTGAAAGTTTTTAGATGTCGGCTAACTTAATTTTCAACAAAATTAGAACTAAAAAATATTTTTTAAAAAATTGCACTTATAGTTTTTCATATTCTTAACAAGTGATATTTTTTTAAAAATTTTTGTAACCATTTTTTCAATAAAAAAAAAATTCTAAAAATTTTTAAATGTCGGCTAACTTTACTATTATTTTTTGCCATCATTTATTTGTTAAAAGAATTCTTAAATTGAATTCATATCTACTAAATTAATTTTCATAATTAAAACATATCTATAGATATTATAATTCCTTTAAATTATTGCCATACACTTAACTACACAACCCCCAGCTGATTATTTTTCAAATCGTTCAAACACTTGGCGCCACCTAGCGCCCAAACTTCAAACCAACAAGTTACCTTCTTTACCTACAGAGCCACCACTAGTTTCTTCCAGGAACTTAATTTTTATCCTCCTCAAACACAAAGTAAAGTTGTCGCCCCTGCGAACGTAAATCTTACCGCAGCGACAGTCAGTGTCTGTTAGCATCTCTCTCCAGCTGATCGTCTTCCCAGTGCTCGCGGTCTCCCTCGGTCTCCCACACTCCCACAATTAATGTAAAATAAAAACAATAAAAGTGTCGAAAAAAAAAGTGCAGCAGGGTAGGACTTGTCCGGACTCGTCAACATACATCAGTGAACGTCGACAGTCTAAGGTTTTTAATGGCGAACTGTTAAACAATAATTAATTGTCCTCTGACAATTAAGCCTCCAATTACAATGGAGCAGAGCTAACACTTGTCAACAATCATTTAAAATAAATAAATTTTATTATATTTGCCTTAAAAAAAAATTATCAAGTAATTTTTAAAATATATATTACTAAATATAAATAATTATAAGCTATTGCTTGATATTTTTATTGCAGTTGTCATTATCATTACTGTATTGTTATTTATTTTAATAATTTATTTTAATAATAGTTGGTTGATATGGCGGTGATTGAAGAATTTAATTATTTATGTCGTCTATGTGCTACCAAGACTGGAATAATGATAATGGGATTTCCGATATTTGAACCTGGTGAAAGATTAAGAAATATTGACAAAAAAATAGCCGCTTGTTTGCCTGTACAGGTAAGAGAAAGTTTTTTTTTTTTTTTTTAATTATTATTTATTATTTTGCATTATTAATTATTAGTGTTAAAAAAATTTATTATCTATTTTTTTGTTAAAAAATTTTTAATTTATTTTTTACATTATTAATTATTAATTATTAGTGTTTAAAAAATCTATTTTTTTGTTAAAAAATTTTTAATTTGTTTTTTACGTTATTAATTATTAGTGTTAAAAAAATGTATTATTTATTTTTTTTTGTTAAAAATTTTTTAATTTATTTTTTTTGTTGAAAAAATTAAAATTTATTTTTAATAAAAAATTTTTTTAAACCAGGTATCAACATGCGACGACCTGCCTAAAGTAATTTGCGAGCCATGTGCTTACAAACTAGACGAGATGTTTGACTTCCGCGAGAAATGTTTGCAGACTGAGGAATTATTCATCGAGATGCTGAAAGAGGAGCTCAAAAATGAAGCTATCACTATTGATAACTCCCTCACGGGTGTTGATGAGATACCCAATGTTATGCAGACAGACATTCGCGGTATCCATAATCATAATCACAGTCACAACCACAACCATCTCCACAACCAGCATCACCATGATATTGGTGACATGCAGAATGGCATTGTTGATGAGCTGAGAAGCCAAGACTGCGTGGGTAATGATGAAGTCCCGGGTGATACTGGGAGCTTGCACACTATGAGGGTTATGGACGACATGGAGCTCGCCGGTGGAGAACAGGTTGTCAGTCAGGAGGAAATTCCTAATCAAGAGACTATTGAAGTCACTGGGATTGAGTGTTTGAATGGAGAAACTGTTGGGATAGATGAGCATATGCACGAAGTAAGAATTTTTTTTTTTTAATTGTACTTTAAAAAAAATTTAATGTTTTTTTAATGATAATTAAATTAGTAGACATTTAAAAATTTTTATAAATTAATTATTTATTTATTATTATTAATATATATAAAATTAAATAACATTAATTAAGAAAATTAATTAGAATTTAATGAAAAGAAAAAGGAGTAAAAGACTATAATAATAATTTTTATGTAAATGAGCAATTATTTTTTTATATTTGATATAAATGCATTGAATTATAAAAAAAAATTTTTTTTTAATTTCTATATCGACGTTTTAATTAGCAAATTGTCTAACTCCATTTTATTTATTTATTTCAATAAACAAACCCAGCAGTCTAGGCCATAAACAGGGTTAATAATTATACAATGGTTAGTAAACAAAAAATTTTTTGATGTATAATAAAATGACTTATAGCTAGCATAGTAATTTAATAGTTAATTTGCTAAATAAAAATACTAATAATGTGTTATCAATTGCAACTCAAGAAAATGATAGCAATTAACAAAAATAAAAAGAGAAAAAAAAAGCAAAATAAAATTTAAAATAATAACAATTGTACATATTAAACGCCATTTAGTTGCTAATTTTAGAGAATCTTTCATTTGTACGAAAAAAACAATTAATTTAAAATTTATTATCACTTTAAAAAACAATTTAATATTCAATACAAATGTTAAAAAATCACCATCTAAAAAATAAGAAGTTAGACCAATTGCTAATTAGACCGTCGATATGTGGAATTTTTTTTTTTTTATTCTAATTTTATTATTATACAATTAAAAAGAAATTACATTCTGTTAAATTTAGCATCATTTTTTTAAAGCTTAAAATTAATCATTTTATGGTTTTATTTAAAGATCAACAATAAGAAAATAATTTTTAAAAATTATCCTGAGAATATTTCTAAAATTCTATAAATAAATTTTTTTTGCAATTCTCAGGCATAATTTATTTCCTAAAAAAACAATCAAGTATTTATTAAATTAAAAAAAAAAATGCTCCAAAAAATCCCAAAATTTTCTTTCTAATAGTTACTAAAAAAAAAAAAATTCCAGGTATCAAACCACCAAATCGCAATCCACCTCGACGGCGACATGACAGTAGTAGGCAACCTGACCGTAAACAACCACCTGGGAATAAACTACGTGACCGCGATCGTCCCAGAGCAGCAAACGGAAGACGAGCAAATCCTGCACTACTGCGAGAACGTGAAATACGAAGGAGTGGACGTGAAAGAGGAGTATCAAAGACTGCAACTTTCCGAAGTTCCTCCGTCCCACTCAATCGAGTCAACCTCAGAAACTTTCGTCGCCACAGTCGAGTCCACCGACTCGGCTCTAAACTCCCAGATACCTTCCCCCGAATTACCCTCCACCAGCCAGGAGGCTTCCACCAAACCGGACCCAGTGGAGTACACCAAGGAGTCCAAAGACACTCTAATCGAGAACGTGATAAGCAATCCTTCCATCGACCAGGCCGGTGCTAAGTGGTACATATGTCCTTTTTGCAGCAAAATGACCAACGAGCCCTCCAGTCTTCTCGATCACTACGACCAGCATTTCTGCTCTTGTCCCTGCGGGCTTAATTTTGTCAGCCTAGAAGATTTTAATACCCACGAACAGCAGTGTCCTTTTTCCAGCGACTCTAAATCTTCAATTGCCAATGACAATCTTGATGATGAATCTTCTGTTTTAAATTCTATTTCTAACGAAGTTAGTTCTATTAATAATGGAGCTGGAGAAAATGAAAAATTACAATCAGGAGTGAGACCAAAATGGACACCTAAAATTTGTACTCAATGTGGAAAGCAATATCGTACTAATTATAAATTACAAGAGCACATGCGTAAGCACACTGGAGAAAAACCATTCCAGTGTAAATTATGCGAGAAAGCTTTTCGCAGTAAAATTGGCTTGGCTCAGCACACAGCGACTCACACTGGCCAGTTTGACTACAGCTGCTCAACTTGCGGGAAAGGTTTCCAGTGCAAGAGTTACTTGATAGTCCACCAGCGAGTGCACTCCGATTTGAAGCCATACTCTTGCGATACTTGCGGGCAAAGCTTCAAAACAAAGCAGTCACTTTTAGACCACCAAAATAGACATCTAGGTGTTAAGCCTTACATGTGTGAAATTTGCGGAAGGAGTTTTATCACTAAGGGCTTATGCAAGAGCCACCAGAAAATACACTCGGGTACTGACAATCGTCAGTACCCTTGTCAGGTTTGTAATAAAATGTTTGTGAGTAAAAGTTACTTAAATACCCACCTTAGGATTCATACCGGAGAAAAGCCGTACTTGTGCGAGGTCTGTGGTAAAGGATTTTTAACAAGAGTTGACTTGCGCATTCACTCTACTATGCATACGGGTGAGAAGAGCTTTAAGTGCGAGATTTGTAATAAGGTTTTTGCAAGAAGAGCCGCTCTCAGGTGCCACAGAAGGTCTCATACTGGAGAAAGGCCCTACAGGTGTGATGTTTGTGGGAAAACTTTCACCCAGTTTAGTCCTATGACCATTCACAAGAGACTTCATACGGGAGAAAGACCCTATGAGTGTGATGTTTGTAGGAAAACTTTTGTTTCTAAGTCCACGATGATGTGCCACAGGAAGAAGCACAGGTTGAGTGATGAGTTGGGGGATAAAGACACTGGGAATGAGGAGGCTTCTAATGTTGGGAGTGCTGAGGTTACTGAGTGCGCGGATGTTCAAACAGACTGATTTTTTTATGTATGATTTTTGGTTTAAGTTCTTTGTCATATGCGATTTAAAAAGTTTAGGGCTGAAGAGATGAGGAAGTTTTTTTGTAAATTTGAATATCTTGAGCTGAATTTTTTAAATTCTTATGATAAATTAGCAACCTTGCAGTCACTATATTACTTGTGAACTATAAATGAATGAAATTTTGATTTATTGAATAATGATTTTTGTTAAATTGCACTGTACTTTTTTAAATATTGACGTTTTTAAGCTCATATTGATGTTACACTCATCAAGAGCTTTTATTTGAGTACCCACATGCATTTTGATATATTTTTCATATATACATATATGTAATATATATAAATATATTAAAATATATGAAAAATTGATGTGGGTACTCAAATGAAAGGTCTCGATGAGTGTAACATGATGAGTGTAATGTAAAGATGAGCTTATGTCCTTAAAAATGTCAGTAGTTCACAAGATACAAGGTCATTTCTTAATTATATAATAAAAATTTCTATTAATAATTTTTTTTTATCTTCACAATAATTGATATAAAATTATCAAGAAATTTCTCATGTCAACTTCAGTGTCAATAATTTTTTAATAACTTTCAGTGAAATAAAAATTTCAAGGTTTGATTAACCTTATTAAAAAAAAAAAAAAAAAAAAAAAATAATTTTTTACTCACTAAAATTTTAATCAAAATCAATTTTAATTTTTAATAAATCAATTTTTATCAATTTTTTAAATAATTAATAACAGCCTTAAATTATCCTATTTTGACTGGCTTCAGACATTATAGCTTCAAACATATTTTCATCATATTTTTACAGCTCTATAGATATTCAAATTTATTTAAAAAATTTTTTGGTCCACTAAATCAAAAACTTTATATTTATTTAAGACTTTAAAAAATTTTCTAACTTTTACTTAATTAACCGCAGCGTTGAATTGATTAATATGAATACTTATAATCAATAAATAGCCAGGAGAAAGTTCGATACATTAATAGATAAGCAAATTAAATTTTTTACAGTCTTTACAGTGTATATTTTAACAATATAAAAATTTTTAAAGTCTTAAATTCATATCGACAAAAAAAAATAATTAATATTTGCATTTAAAATCGTTTTCAATTTGTTTATGGTTAAAATAAAAAATTATTATTACAATTAAACAAAAATAATATTGAATTCTTGATAATGTAATATGTAAAAAAAAAGTATATATTATATATTATAAGTGTAAATATGTTTTGAGTGAATAGTTAATTATAAAAAATTAAAATTACGTTCATGTAATATTACGCGTTGATTAAATTTTATTTTATGTACTATAAGATTATAATAATAATTACTATTATAATTAATTTTTTCGTACAATTAGTCTGAACAAAAAATATGAGTTATTTTTTTATTAAAAATTTTTAGTATTTTTTAAATTGACTGTAATTTAATCAATTGTATATTTTATAATCTTTTAGTACATAATAATATGTATCTATTAATTATTCTTATAAACAATTATAATAATTATCATTGTCACTTATTAGTACCATTAATATATTTATTAATATGTGTATCAGTTAATTATTATTTTCTGAATTAATAAAAAGAATTTCTTAATAAATTGTTTTGTAATTGTAATTATTTTTAGGAAAAATTATTAATAAATTTTTTTTACTAAAAAATGCTCTTTATTTATAATAATAATAAACAATAATCCGATTTTTATTATCTAAAACTAATAAAATAAACATACAATCCATTTAATTGTTAATGGAATAATAAATTTATAATTTTCACAATTTAAAAAAAATATTTGACAATTGTAGTTGCTTAATTAAACGAGTAGTTGCAGTGATAGTAGTTAAAAAAAAGGATAATATGGTTTTATTTTTATCAAATAAAGAGAGACTTATCAGATAGAGTTTAAAGTGTGAGAGAGCTTTAAGTATACGCAAGTGCACGTAGTATTTATTTAATAAATCAATAATTGCACAGAATTATCAACTATTTGGTTATAAATTGACAAATATTTTTTTTTCCATATCTTTCTCTATACTTTTAACCATAATTATCTAAGCAAGGCATCAATGACAGTATTGTTGATAATAATAATATTTAATTATTTTTTATGCGTACAATAAATCAACTAGAGTCCCCGTAATTTATTCTTTTAATTTTGTTGTATAAAATGTATATAAAATTTAATCCGTTTTTACAAATTGTATTATTGACAAAGTACAAAATTTTTAATTATAATTTAGATTTAACAATTTTTATTTGTTGTAAGCGTTTTGGCTGTTTATTATTATTTTAATTCAAGTACGGGAACTCTGATAAATAATCATATGCAATAATTTTTTGTTTAAAGTATAATACAAAGCACCAAACCTACGTCATAGATTTATGTAATTTATAGTTTATTTTTGGGTAATTATTTATAAGTGGGGTCCATTTTTGGCCATATCAAAGTGAAAAATTAATCTTTTCAAATTTTTTTTTATTTTGATTGTTTTTATAGTGCATTTACAATAAAAATGTCGTGAAAAAAAAAAATAAAGATTTCGATAGTTTTTTTGCCTTTAAAGTTGGAAAAAATTTTGGCTCTTATTTTTTTGGATAAAATTTCTATTTTATTTTTTTTTGTCTTTTTTTTTTTTAAAAGTACATAAAAAAAACGAACAATAAAAAAAAA